GTTGTAAGTTCTTGTTAGACCAGCAAGTTGTGCAAAGAGTACAAAAACAATGAACAGTTGGACAGGTGCATTCAGGAGTTAGAGGTCACATTCAGTTCACCTTGTAAAGGTTACACTGCATTTTAGGTTCATTCTGAAATTTCACCCAAAAGCCATATCCCTAACTTTTTATGAGTTTTGCATGCGTTTTGGTAAAATCTTGATAAATGGAGTGCACAATCGACCAATATTAAAAAATATTGCAATATAACTAGGGTTGGGCAATATTGACAAAAAATGAATCATGATTAATTGTGGTATTTAGCCAATAATGATTAATAAGACGATTAATCCTCTGGAGTTCCTGGACGCCTGCGTGTCCTAGTCACATGACCAGTTTAAATCACTCTAGTGGGAAAAATTTGCTCTCTGTAAAAATCTGTTCCAAATTGGGTCAAAAGTACAAACTTCAGGCTAAATATCAATTTTTAAATTATGTTTTGCTAGACTATGTACAACCATAGTTATGATGAATTAATTACTGAAATTTATTTTAAATGCTTGTCATATTTGAAGCAGAGACAAGCATCGAGTGGACTGAAATCTCCAGTCCATCTGCCTGGTGGCATTAATCAAGTGCCAAAAAAATAACTGACTAAAGTTTTTCTGACGATTAATTGCACGCAGTACGATTTTGCCCCAACCCTAAATATAACATCAAATTATTCATGAGAAATTTTACCAACAGACAGAGCCCACATAGCAAAATTCACCTGGTCCAGTTCTGGCCCACACAATGCACTAAATATGATGGGCCTTTGATGACCCAGATGTGGTTTGCCAGAGATGGTCCGTGCATGGGCCAGCACCACATAGACTACACTATAATGGGGCCAGTTATKGCATGCTATCTTACAAACAGTGSCATCATTGCCAGACCTGGCCCACATCCGGTTGATAAACCACTTGCCAGCAGTCAGCTAGCAGGGCCAGCTTGACACCAGCTCTGGCCCACACCTGTCTRCTATGTGGGAGGTAGACTACAACARTTAATGGCAWTTTTTTTCAGCAAAGATCTCTTTCAATCAGTTATAGGGCTCTGAGTTTGTTTTGGGCATGACTGTCAGAAACTACCACATCGAATTGTATGTAGCTCARTATCTGTAAAACTGAGTTATAGCCATTTAACAATTAGCTGTGGAAACCATCTTGAATTGGATTGTCTCTAAAAGGTAACCAGTTGTGGGTGCATATTTGATAATTACTGTCTGAAGTTTCATTAAAATCCATCCTGTGGCTCATCAGGTTTTGCTAACACAAAGACAGGCGAAAACTTTAACTCCCACCTTTGGCTTTTTGGCTGTGGGTGAAAATAATACTTTCACTGCAGCTTTCAATCAGCTAGTCCAATTATTGTCTTTACCATGAATGCCAATATATTTTAGTTAAAACTTTAGAATTAAAATGAAAAGATGTTTCTCTGGCTGATGGAAAAGTTGAACTAGCTACCTGCTGTATAGGTTATACGATTACGGAAAAAAAACTTTGTTAATTTCTTTTCCACTTTTCCGTAGGCCCGTCCTTGTGCTGTAAAACAGAAACTGGCAAAATGACTTCCAGAGAAAAACCTGCTCATTTTTCCACAGATTGAGCACTCATTGTTCCTACAAGAAGACACAGTGCATTTAGAACTCTTTTTTACTTTCCCAGAAACTGTCAGCTATGTTCCAGTAAGATGATGTATACACACACACACACACACACACACACACACACACACACACACAC